AAAAAAAAAAAATTATAAAACCACCATAAAGAGGCAAGCCACAGTCAGGGAAAATAGCTGGAATATTTATACCCAACAAAGGATTTATAAGAATATATAAGGAACTCCATTAATAAGTAAAAATCACCCTGACTAGTAAAGTGGGCAAAAGTCTTGTAATTAGCCCCTTCCCAAAGGTGAAATGCAAATGATTCATAAACATGGGGGAGACAGCACTGCCTTGGTTTTCCCAAGGTAAAATCCCTTCAGGGCTGTGCCACTGAAAAAGGCTGAGAGCACCTAGTATTGGAAACAGATGAACTCTGACCATACCCCCTGAGTCACGGGGTTGACCAAGTTGCTGGATGTCCCTCAACCCCATGTCCTATCTTGGCCTGTGCAGTGGTGACAATGGGCATGTTCAGAGGTTAAATGAGTTTGAAAGTCATGTGAAGCCCTCACTTGGTGCCAGGCTCATGGGAGCTTCTAGGATCTTCTTGCAGGACTGAGTGCCCTGTCTGCTGTGTCTGAAAAGGCCTTCTAATTTTTTTTCAGAGATTACATAGCAAAAGCAGTTCCCATAACAACAGCAAGTACTTTCATTTCTGTCGTTCTTTTCCTTTTGCATTTTTTGAGACAGGGTCTCGCTGTGTAGCCCAGGCTGGCCTTAAACCTCAAGCAGTCCTTCTACCTTAGCTTCCCAGGTGTTCCTGGATTACAGGCATGCACCACCACCAGGCTTAATTACCTGTCCTTACTTACTTGCCACTCCTGATGCAACTCTAATAGGCAGGTGCTCAGGTATGTAGGTGCTGTTGCCATTACTGTGTTGCAGATGAGGTCAATGAGGTAAGGGGAATGAAGTAGCCTGCCCAGGATCACCAGGTCATCAGTGATGGAGATGTCTTCAGACCCAGATGTGCTAGTTCTGGTCTAATTACTCTACTGCTCACATACTCTACTGCTGCTCCAGAAGTGACCCACAAGTTCTACTTTCTGTTCCAGGCTCTCTGGACCTTCCTACCTAAGTGTCCCCTGGGGTCCTCTTGCTCCAGCTGTTTGGACCCAGCCTGATCTCACTTCCAAAGTCCCTGAAATATTCATACAATTTAATAATAAGGATGTTAATAACTGTCCCCATCATAAATGCCCATAGTATGATAACAGTAGCAGCTGGGGCTGCTTGTGTGGGGTGCGCCTGTGTGCCAGGCACCATGCTTGGCTCTTCATATGTATCATCATATTGAATCTGGAACAGTGCAGTGAAAAGGCCTCTGTTATCACTGTGCTGTAGACTGAGCTGCAGAGAGGTAAGGTCAATTGCCTAAGTGGCAGGGTCAGGGATCAACCCCAAAACTGTTGGACTCCAAGGCCTTTATCATAGCTCTGTGCTGTCACTTGAACTCTTGGCTATCTAGTCTTGTATACTATACTCCAACTTACATCAATGGAGACCATCCCCATCCCATTCATATGTAGCACCTGCTGTGTACCAGGTATTTTGGAGTCGCCAAGATCAGTACGGTGATGTTCCTAACCTTGGGCTCCAGTCTAGTCAGGGAGGCAGACAATTGTAAGTTGGGCTCTCTCTGCAGTGGCAAGTGTACTTGGGTAGAGGTGCTAGTGAAGAGGGACAGCCATGGGGCTAGAGGATGGGAGGGAGCCTTGTGTAAGGAAGGCTTCACCAACAGTGAGCTGGGCCTTGAAATATGAGGAAGAGCTGCTGGTTGACTGAGTGACAAGGACAGTCTAGGCAGACAGCTTAGTCAGTTGACATCAGGGCCCTGTCCTAAGTTCCTTCCTTCCTTCCTTTTTTTTTTTTTTTTTTTTTTTTTTTTTTAGATACAGTTTCCCTGTAGCCCCAGCTGGCCTGGAACTTGATTATGTAGACTAAGCTGGCCCTGAACTCACAGAGGTTTGCCTGCCTCTGCCTTCCGAGTGCTGGGATTAAAGACATACACATCACACTTCGCTTCTGTCCCAAGTTTCTTAAATTCCCCATTGTAGTTGGGAGTGCTCAGAGCAGATGTACTCATTCAGGTCACTGCCTCCCAGTGAGCCAGGAGTATGATGTGTGGCGCCAATGCATATTTGTTATCCTCTACATGGAAGAAAATTCCAGTGTGGTGAGAATCCGCTTCCCCCAACACACACCTGCACTGCCAGCCTTGCCTTGTCACCATCCGAGTGTCTGTCATCCTGTGGATTGCATGGAGAGTGTCACTGATGGCCACATTGGGCGTTGTGTAATAGCTGTCAAACTTCACTGGGGGCTGGGAATGTAGCTCAGTGGTAGAGCACAGGCTTAGCACATGTGAGGCCCTGGGTTTGATCTTTAGCAACACATGTGCACACGATTTCAACCCATGCACCTAGCCTCATTCAGTGGGGTTAGGGTAGAGAGCAGCTTCACTAGGTGAGTCAGGTGTAACACAGATTTATAATGGTCCCTGCAGGTTAACCCAGTGCAGTTCAGGTGCTGAGGGGTCACTGCATCACAAAGGGAAAGATAGCTTGTGTTCTCTCATGTAGCACTGCTGGTAGATTGGGGTGACTTATCTTTTTGGAGGGTTGTGCTACTTATAGCATGTTAAAAATTGTATGTAGGCAAGGCCTGGTAGCAGAGGACTGCATTTCCAGCTTCTTGAGAGGATCACAAATTCCAGGTTTGCTGGTCTGCAGAGTCAGTTCAAGGCTAACCTGGTAACTTACTGAGACCCTATCTCAAAATAAATAGTAATGAAAAGGGAGAGGCTGAGGTTGTAGCTGGTGGGGGGGGGGCTTAACAACAGGAAACATTAAATGTCCGACCAACTGATTTAAAATATAGTAGACAGCAACAATGTCACTATCATGAATCAACCCAGCTCCTGTTGCTCTATTTTTGAGGTTCTGCCCTTTTGGACTCTATCAGTTTTCTAGATTGTAGGTAGGACGGTTCCATCTACACTCTCTCTTTCTTGCTCCCCAGCACCACCCCCAAACTGAATATGGCCTGAAAGACAGCAGGAAGTGAATTCATCTCCTTTTGAGCCTGCTTTTCCTCCCTAAGCCCAAGACTTTTAACAGGTGAAGAAGTCACCTGGATCTCTGGGCCCAAGGCCTCTCCTACTCATTTCACTTTGGATTTAAGTATGTGTTCAGCACGTAAGCTCCTTACCCTAGACAGCTCTGTTTGAGCCCCAGTTCCGGTGTGCATGCTGCACATGAGGAAAACTGTGGACATTCTAAGGATAGACTTTTTGAGCACAAGCTGTTGTCCTAAGCTCTGGCTGTGGGGTCCACCATCTCTCAGAATCTTATCACCAGCCAGACTTCAAGCCCTACATCAGGTACTCGGCACTGACCACTGTCTCCACTGGCATCCATCACTGGGGTCTGTGTGAAGCAAGCCGTGCTTGCTCTTCCTTCAGTTCCACTAAATTAGAATACTCAGTAGGCTTGGGAGCCTCTGTTTTTCCAGGTTTCCAGGTCCAGGCAATTCTCTCACACCCTGAAGTCTGCCCTCAAGGGCTTGGCAGTGCTCTTGAGGTAGTTTGGGCTGAGGTTCCTGGAGTGTACTGCTTCTGAGCGTCCTCTGCTGTTTTTCTCTAGTGGTGACTCATGTCTACATCTGAATGGGAAATTGTACTAATAGAACCTTAAAAAACACTGCTGTGCTGTCCCCTAAGAATCACTACTGGCCCTTGGACTGGCTTTCATGTCATGTCGGTTGATAAGCTCTTATTTCCTTCCCTTTCTCTTAGATACCTGTATCACGTGTTAACCAAAAACACCACTGTCACAGAACAAAACCGGAACCTGCTGGTGGAGACCATCCGTTCCATCACGGAGATCCTGATTTGGGGAGATCAGAATGACAGCTCTGTATTTGAGTAAGGGGTCACAGCGCTTTGGTTTTCTGATCCTTCCTCTTTCTTTGAGTGTTCTTCCAAATGTTTTACCATGAGTCATTCCTAACAAAGTCGGGGCTTGATGCTGATTTGGTCTTGCCTGAATATATATATCTATATCAAATGTCCTTGAGACACTGTAGAGGTGCCAGCTAAAAATGGAGGCGCTATGAAAGTAAGCATCTCAGAAACCCGAAAGTGTCATGGATAACATTCCAAGACGTGTCCTGTCATCTGCCCACTGGTAGGAGGAATGCCCTGGGCAGTGAGTCTCTAAGTAAGCAGAAAGGACTTGCCCTGAGGAAGTTACTAAGGGCCAGCAGTTAATTTGTTTATTTTTGATTTTTTGCATGTGTATGTATATGGTGTGTATGGGTGTTGAAGTGCATGTGTGTAAGCATGTGTAGGCTGATATTCACGTGTGTATGAATGTGTGCATGGGTGTGAAGATCAGAGGTTGATGATGGCTGTCTTCCTCAGTCACTCTGCACTTTATTTACTGGGGCAGGTCTCTTGCGGAACCCAAAGCTCGACATTCAGGCTAGTTTACTAGAGCTACCCAGCCTGTCCCAGGGATGCCCAATCTCTGCCTCCAGAGGGCTGGGAACACAGGCAGGCCACCATATCCCTCTGGTTTTTACATGGGTTCTGGGGATCTGAACTCAGGCTTGTGAGGCAAGCAGCTTTGAGAGATAGTCCAGTACATTTCTTCCTTGCCCCACATGGAGGCTCTATTGGTGTCCCCATATGTAGCTGATAGATAAGGAAACTTTTCAAAACCAGAACCCACCATGAAGTTTCTCCCCATCCTCATACTTCCTAAACAAGCAGCCTTAAGCCAGGCTCTTTTTCTCTCTCAGCCTCAAAAAAAAAAAAAAAAAAAAAAAAAAAAACAAGGGCTGGGGGTGAGGGGGGACTGGAGAGATGGCTCAGTGGTTAAGAGCACTGATTGCTTTTACCAAGAACCTGGGTGTGAGTCTCAGCACCCACATGGTGGCTAACAACTGTCTATAACTCCAGTTACAGGGGATCTGACACCCTCTTCTGACCTCTGCAGGTATTGCATGACACAATGCATGGTACACTTATACACATGCAAGCAAATGGATTCATACACATAAAATAAAAATAATAAATAAAATATTTTTTAAAAAGAGAGTTAGAGGATTCTCTGTCTAGTGCCTGGCACTGAAAAGGTCTCAGAGATGATAGCAAGTGATAGAAAGAGATGTGCCTACGGACAGCTAAAAGACAAAGGTGACTGGGCATAGTGGTGCGTCTTAGATGGATCTCTGAGTTCAAGACCTGCCCGGTTAACATAGCAAGTTCCAGGCCAGCCATCTCTGAGATCTCTGGGTTCAAGGCCAGCCTGGTCAACATAGCAAGTTCCAGGCCAGCCAGGGCTACATAATGAGACCCTGTTTCAAAAAAACAACCCAACAAACAAACAAAACAAAATAAAAACCCCACAAAGGCTGGAAACCAGGGACCGACTTCTCTATACCTATCTTGAAGTTTTAATGTACAAGGGTTTGAGATTGGGTTACAATAACCAATAACACAGATTCATATTCTCTCTCTCTCTCTCTCTCTCTCTCTCTCTGTGTGTGTGTGTGTGTGTGTGTGTGTGTGTGTGTGTGTGTGTGTTCAGTAGTCTCAAAACCTAGCACACTTTTAAAACCCATTTAAGGACCAGCAAGATAGCTCAGCAAGTAAAGGCATCTGCTGCCAGCTTGATGACCTGAGTTTAATCCTTGGGACCCACAGAGTGGAAGGAGAGAACCAACTCACCAGGTTGTCTTCTGACCATCACATGCATGCTGAGGCATGTGCACTTCCACACATATACACATAAACAAGTAAATATAATTAATGTAATTTTTAAAATTAAAAACAAAAGTGTTGCATTTCTAGCCTCGCTGGCTCCATCCTTTCTTCTTTTTTCTTTTTTAAATTACTTTGTTTTTATGTATATGGTATTCTAGTTTGATTTCTATGGTTTTGATGAAACACTGACAACCAACCTGGGGAAGAAAGGATTTATTTCATGTTACAGATTACAGTTTGTCATTGAGGGAGTTCGGGACAGGAACTCAAGGCAGGAACCTGGAGGCAAAAACTGAAGCAGAGACCATGGAGGAGCTCTGCTCACTGGCTTGCTCAGCTACTTTTCTCTCTTTTTTAAAAAAAAATTTTATTATTTTTATTTTATGTGTATGCGTGTATTGGCTGCATGTAGGTAAGTGCACCTGTGTCATGCAATGCCCGCAGAGGTCAGAAGAGGCTGTTGGATCCCCTGGGACTGGAGTTTCGGACAGTTGTTAGCTGCCATATAGGTGCTGGGGTTCAAACCTGGGTCTTCTGCAAGAACAATCAGTGTTCTTAATCGCTGGGACTGGAGTTTCGGACAGTTGTTAGCTGCCATATAGGTGCTGGGGTATGAACCCGGGTCTTCTGCAAGAACAACCAGTGTTCTTAACTGCTGAGCCATCTCCAGCCCCATCAGCTACTTTTCTTATACAGCCCAGGCCCACCTGCCTAGGGATGGCACTGCTCACAGTCAGCTGGGTCCTTCTACATCAATTGGCAATCAAGAAAATGCCCTAGAGACATGCCCACAGGCCAGTCCGATGAAGGAAATTCCTCAACTGAGACTCCTCCCTTCCAGATGAATCTAGTTTGTCTCATGTTGACCAAAAACAAAAAAACCCAAAACAAAAGCCTAACCAGCATATATGGAGTGTGTGTTTGTACACGGACTCCTGTGTATGAATATAAGTGTATGGAACCAGGGTTGCACATGCCTTGTTGTATATATGGGAGTTGGGACAACCTTGGATGTCTGTCCTCACCTTTCATCTTGTTTGAGGCAGTGTTTCTTGTTCACTGCTGTGTATGCCAGGCTAGCTGACCCTTGAGTTTCCTGGGATTCGCCTATCTGCCTTCCAGCACTGGGGTTATAGATATACACTACCCAGTCTGGCTTCTGGGGATTTGAACTCAGACACTCACACTTATGTGTACAAGTACTTTACCCACTGAGTCATCTTCTCAGTCCAGGCTTCTTAAAAGTTAGCCTCATTTGGTTTGCAGGACAGTGCCTTTTCATCAGTAAAGTTACCTAACAGAGCTCTCTGCAGAAAATGCAAACTGCTTAAATGTAAACATGAGACACAAGCCATGATCCCCAGAGGAAAACACGGGCACGGTAGAGTAGTGTGTAGCTTAGAAATGGGACTGTTCCTTTTATGGGTCCACAGGGAATTTATTTGTTTATTGTTGAAAACAAGAAAAAACCTTGGGTTAAAGATTAGAGATGGTAACCCTGCACCCTCTTTCTTCTTTCTTTCTCTCTTTTTCTTTCCTTCCTTTCTTTCTTCTGCCTCCTCCTTCTTTTCCCTCCCTCCCTCCCCCCCTCTCTTTCTCTCTCTCTTTCTTTCTTTCTCTCTCTCTCTCTCTCTTTCTTTCTTTCTTTCTTTCTTTCTTTCTTTCTTTCTTTCTTTCGCAGAGCCTATTTGTCAGCTTGAAAAATTGCTGAGCACCAAGTGTGGCCAAGCACACCTGTAATCCTAGCACTCTGGAAGCTGAGATAAAAGGATCATAAGGTCAAGGCCAGCTAGACTAAAAACCCTTGTCCAAAAAGGAGAAGGGAGAGAGGGAGGGAGGGAGGGTGAACTGAACTCTTAAGAGTCACAGCAGTCCTGAAATAGCTGCAGTCCTTAAGAAAAAAAATTTTTAAGTATATTTTTGTTATATTTGTACATTTAGTATATTTTCCTCATGATTATACTAGAGAAAGTGCTGTGGAGGTGTAGTGCCCTTCTCATCCGTCATAGCAGGGCACTCAGGATGGCTGCAGGATACCATAGTCACCTGGCTAAGGGGCTCCTGCTGTGTGTCTCTAAAGTTATTCTTCCTCCCATTCCTAGGCCGGCCCTCCCTCCCTCTTTCCCTCCCTCCCTTCCTCCCATTTTGTGATTTTTGTTTTGTGAGACAGGGTCACATTAAGCCTAGGCTGGCCTTGAACTTGCTTTGTAGCTGTTGCTGATCTTGAACTTCTGAACCTCCTCCCTCTATCTCTTAAGTTATGGGGGATTATAGGCATGTGCCACCATCCACTGTGATTTTCTTTCTTTTTTTCAGAGGCAGGGTCTCACTATGTAGCCCCAGCTGGCCTAGAACCTGGAACTTACTATGTAGACCAGGCTGGCCTCGATCTTATAGAGATCTGTCTGTTTCTGCCTCCCGACTGCTGGGATTAAAGGTGTGCACCACCACATAGGGCACACTTAGACTGTTTTTCAGAAAAGCATCACTTAGTCTTGGCTACCTTAAGACTTAAGGAGTGAGGATTAGGCTCCACTTTCTAGAACGGCAGAGTATCTGCAGATATTGTTTAAAATTCTTCTGTTTGGGAAATTTGTCTCTTCTTCCCCATTTGTTCATTTATTTAATCATTTTCTTATATCAGTATAAACTTTGTGGCTATTTAGTTTATACATTAATTAGGTTGTGATTGAGTACTCTGCTATCGTTCAGATTGCTCCAGCATTCGGCATTGGGGCCTCTGTCCAATTGGCTCCCGTGTCCCTTGCTTTCTGAGCATTTCTTTACTTGTTGGCACTATAAGATACTCCAGACTTATTTTATATTTTTGATGAACCAGAATCAACCATTTTTCTAAGGAGTCCCCATTTTCCTAAGAAGTTTTCAAAAATCCAGTCTTAGGGCTAGCTCAATGCTTGCAGCACAAGCATGAGGACCTGAGTTCAGATATTACTACATGTAAAAGCCACCTTGGTAGTCCATAATCCCAGTGCTTCTGTGGCAAGGTGGGAGGCAGAGACAGGAGGATCCTGGGGAAATCGGGAAGGCCAGCAAGCCTAGCATGTGCAGAGCGATGACACCCTATCTCAAACAAGGTGGAAAGCGAGGACCAACACCCAAGGTTGTCCTGTGACCTACACACATGTACCTTGGCATGTGCATGCCTATGCACATGAACGCACTCGCACACACACATCATGCAGACAAAGATAAAAAAATTCCAGTTTGGGCATTTCACACTGAATCTCCTAAGTTACTCCTGAAACAAAATCTAGGTGCAGACATTGACAAGTTCCTCCATGGCATTGTATGCCAGTGTGTGCTTTGGTGAGTCTGGAGAGTCACTGGCTTGTATAACTTGAAGCCGAAGCAGGGAAAATAGGTCAGATGCCAGAAATACTCTGGAGGTCAATGGGAACAGCATTTATAGGCACATGCGTTCCCTGAGTCAGAGTGGTAGGAAATCTTAGGTTTTTGTTTTCATTTAGTTTTAGTTTTGAGTTTTGGTTTTAAGGTCACATTTAATCATTCATTTTTCAGGGATTCAAACAGAAATTATGTGGCAGTGAGTGTCAGGCCCCTGGTCCTGCCCCTGTAGAGCTGACAGTTGAGGGGAGAGAGACACCCCCAAACTAAGTCAAACAGCAGACTCGTGTTTTCCTTTTTCTGAGACAGGGCCTCATGTATCCCAGGCTAGTTTTAAACTCACTATAGAGCCAAGAGGATGATTCTGAACTTGTGATTCTCCCGCCTACACCTCCCAAGTACTGGGATTACAGAGTACACTTCCATGCCTGGTTTATGTAGTGCTGGGGATAGAACCCATGCTAGGCAAGCACTCTTACCAACTGAGCCACATCCTTAGCCCTTGACTGCAGAGATTTCTTCTGACTATTCCAAATGAGAGTATACCTGATCTTAGCTCAAATACACTGAGTAAATCACTAGAAATAACATCTTCTTTCTTAAAGGAATGGCATTGAAGGTTCTGTTTCTAACATGTATCCTCAAAGCCAGTGCCTCCTGGCTGTGTGTAGACAAGTGTCCTTTCCAGTTAAAGAAAAGCAGAAGCCGACCTGGGTGCTGGCTAGGGTCCCTCTACCACACCAGTGCCTTCGTCTTACCCTCTAGTTCTTTTACCTGAGATAGGGAAGCTACAAAGTGATCAAGAAGAAGTAAAAATCTATGCTATCACTCAGCGTTATCTTGCCCCTGCAGGGAATTCGAGTTCTGTTTTTTTTTTCTACACTTCAAACTATGGAGTGCAAAGGAAAGAGGCACAGTAAGGGGTGCTAAGGAACAGACTGTTTATGTGCTAGAAAGCACTCCTTACCTGGTGTACTGGCACATGCTGCTGTGTGATTAATCAGTAGGTAAAGAGCTCCTGTTCTGTCAGAATCTAGTTCACCACTTCTTGGAACCAGCATCAGCCTCACATTCTGAGAAAGGAAGAGAGGGAATTGGAAGGCTGCTCATTGGCAGATGGCATCATGGGACACAGAGGCTGTACAGGAATCACAGTCTAACCTCTCCACTGCTTTCAGGGTGACTCTGTATATGCAAGCTGTGAATGTACTCTACCCCCTGACCCTTTCTCATTTTCTCCCCAGCTTCTTCCTGGAGAAGAACATGTTTGTTTTCTTCTTGAACATTCTGCGGCAGAAATCTGGCCGTTATGTGTGTGTGCAGCTGCTGCAGACCTTGAACATCCTCTTTGAGAACATCAGCCATGAGACATCACTCTGTAAGGATACTGCTTACCATTTGCCTGTGTACTGCCTGGTGCCAGCTCAGTGGGGTAGTAGCTTGGCGTGGTTTTGCACATTTGTGCTTTGCATGTATGCAGTCTCCCCAGGCTGACCTCACAAAGCCCACAGGCTGAGTAGCTTAGATGGTAGAGGTTTGTTTTCCTGGCTGTTCTGGAGGCTGGAGGCCCAAGTTGAAGCTGACATCAGGCCTGGTTTCTGGTGAAGGCTGTCTTCATAGATAGCCAGTCTCAATCTGCTTTCTGTTCACTATAACAAACTCCTTGAGACTAGGTAATTTACAAGTATGAGGTTTATTTTGGCTTAAGATTTTGAAGGCCTAGAGGTCCAAGTCTTGTGAGGGCCTTCTGCTACTTCAACTCATGGCAGAAAAGGCCTGTGCAAAAGACATAGAACACTTGCTTATAGCACACAGTAACTGTCTTTTTTTTTTTAAGCTTCTGAGTTTCTTTAAATTGCATTTTGTGTGTGTGTGTGCATGTGCATGCACACACATGGAGATTAAAAGACAGCTTGCGGGAGAGTTGGTTCTCTCTTTCCACCATGTGGGTCCTGGGGTTGAAACTCAGGTAGTCAGGCTTGGAGGCAAGTGCCTTTAACCTGCTAAGCCATCTCTCCAACTTACAGTAACCTGCTCTTGAGGTAAGAGAGTAAAACTCATGTGAAAAAGACATTATTGCATCATGATGACTCCCCCTCCATTACCTAAACACCTCCTACTAGGTCTCACCTCTAACACAGCCACATCCAGAAACTAAGATTATGACACATGAAACTTTAGGGGACACACTTAGACCTTAGCCATCTTCTCACTGTGCATGGCCCTGCCTTCCTGTGTGTGAGACTGAGATCCAGAGAGAGGAAAGAGAAAGGGAGGGAGAGAACACTTTGTGGTCTCTCTACTCTTATAGAATCACCAGTTCCCTCAGAGTTGGACCTCCACCTTTGTGACCTCATTTGACCTTAATTACTCTTGAAAGTTCTCTCTCCATATGCAGTCACCTGGGGCCAGAGGACTGCAGCCTATGAATTTGTTGGGGCACAATTCATTTTAGTGTGGTGGGGTACTCTAAAGGACTAAAAAAAACATTCCCCTCTTCTCAGTGACTGGGATGTGTGTGCATTCCTTCTGTATGGTGAATAGTCAGCCCATGGCATAATAGTGAAGGAGGAGGGGGAGGAGGGGAAGCTCTACCTCAGGGCCTGAGGGTATAGGCTTTGGCGCCAACTTCAGCTTCAACTTTGCTGCCCCTCACCCGCCCTTGCTAAGCTCAGTTTATTCACTTATAACAGTCATTCCTGGGAAGGAGGGACTATTAGGTCTCTCATTTTAACTCCAAGAAAAATTTGAGTCATGGTTCCAAAGTAACAGTTTGGTGAGGTCAGACTAGAGGAGAGATTTTGGCCCAGAAGAATGAGCTTAGTTGAGATGCTGATATTGTCTGTGGACACTGTTGGCGTCTAAAGCTAGTCCTGATTGTCATAGTCCAGGTGGAGAGGGGCTGTTGAACATCCTGCCAGGACAGACCCTTAGCAGAGCCTAGCCCAAACCACCATCAGTGTTGGGATTGAGCAAACCTGTCATGGTTCCTAATCCTCCCTGCGGTCTAGTAGGTTCCCCTCCTCCCTGTGGTTGCCAGCTTTGTTATTCCAAGATGACAACATGGAGCCCAGGCCCTGCCCTCAAAGAGTACAGGAGAATTGGTTGAGTGCCCTGAGCAAAGGCAGGTGCTGAGTTCCTGGGACAAGTCTGGAAAAGGGTCTAGTTGGGGGAAGGAGGTAAGCATGCTGGCTGTTCTGTGGGGTCTGAGCGCTGCTGTGTAGTGACTGCAGCAGTGGCAGCTAGGTGGTGCTGCTGCCCCATTACACCTCCTTCCCCATTCCCATGACCACAGACTGACAGATGCAGCTGATTCATGTTTCCCTGTGTGGTTTCCCTTGTTATCAGCTTCTGTTTCACTGGATGTGAAACAAGTGTGGTTTCTGAGCTCTGAGGGGAAGATCCAACTCTGAGCACAGGCCCAGGGCTCAGCCAGAACTGGGCAGCTGATTCAGCCACGCACCCTGGGGTACTGCTGAGGCAAAGCTTAGACTGGCCACTGGGACATTTCCAGAGCCTTGGGCTTTAGCGTTTATGTGGTGTGCCCTTGAGTCTTAACTCTAATGACACTTTCAAAACCCAAATATGTACTGGGCCATAGGATTAAAAATGGGTGCTTTAAAAGTTCTGGTTTCTTGCTATATATTTTAAGCTGTACAGTTGAAGATCTGACACATGTATACCAAAGTGACCTCCGCAATCAAGCTGACGTATTCATCACCTCCTATAGGCCTCTATTTTGTGTGGGACCAGAGCACCTAGGACCTACTCTCTTAGTAAATTTCATCCATCTAGTACAGTGTCATTAGCTGTCAACACCAGTCACCATGCCATATGTTAGAGCTCCAGAATTTAGTAGTCTTGTGAAGATGAGGCTTTGTAATCTTGGCCAGCATCTCCCACTTTCCCTGCCTACAGCCCCTGGAACCTTTTTCTGTTCTCCACCTGTGTTGACTATTTTAGATTCTACACACAGGTGTTACGTAGTATGCATGGCTTTGCCTGTACTGGGACCAGCCAGGGTGCCCTGTTCTGAGAAGCCTGGGCAAATGCTTCCAGAAAGATCACCACTGTACTCTTATGAGCCCGGTGAAACCAACAGAAGTCACTGCCTGTTTCCACACTTGCAGTTTGTAAGTACGAAAAAGAGAAGTAACCTATGTATTTAATGTTTGAAAAATCATTTAAAATTTTGGGGGGTGAGGTGCTGGAGTGATGGCTTAGTAGTTAAGAACACTGACTACTCTTCAAAAAGACCTGGATTTGGTCCCTAGCACCCATATGGTGGCTAACAACCATCCTTCACTCCAGTTCCGGGGAATCTGACACTTCTTCTGGCCTCTGTGGGCGTTGCATGCATGGGTGCACTTACATACATGCAGGCAAAATACTCATATACATAAAATAAAAATAATAAAGTATTTTAAAATTTTTCTGGGGGACAGGATTTCTGTGTAGCACAGGCTAACCTTGAACCCTTGATCCTCCTGCCTCAGCCTCCTTAGTATTGGGATTACAAACATGTGTCACCATGCCCATCTGTTTTTATTTTTATTTATTTTTATTTTATATGTATGAGTGTACTATCTGCATATATATGTGTACTTGTGTTGTGCAGTGGGGACTGCAGAGGTCAGAAGAGGGCGTTGGATCCCTGAAACTGGAGTTAAGAACAGTTGTTAGCGGCTATGTGAGTGCTAGGATTTGAACCTGGGTCCTCTGCTAGAGCAGCCAATACTCTTAACCACTGAATCATCTCTCCAGCCTGTTTTTATTTTTATTTCCTAGTCCTAAAATATCTTCATTGTAAAACAACAAAACCTCATTACAGTAGTACAGTCAGGTGTCTGTAGCTCTCCACCCTGACAGCTTGGTATGCAGCTCCCTCCCCTATCCCTAGCATTCCCTTGTTCATGCATGTGACCCTCCCTGGTCTGGCTTATAGCTGCACTATGACCCATTGAACCTGACCGTGGGCATCTAGGTGCTTTCCAGGTTTTCACTATTACAGGCAGTCATTGTACAGTGGCCTCTGCTGCCTGTTGGTTTGGTGACCTAAGTGACAGAGGCCTGAGAGACTGAGATTACTTATCAACTCCCAGGTTTATTAGAACAGGATACCACAGGAAGTCAGCCACATGGGTGAGGGGGAAGTAGAAAAATCCCAGCCATACAATAGGTCCTTCCACTAGCCTCTGGTGGTCCCCTGATCCCCACAGAGCCATCTCTTGGAGGCCTTGGAAAAGTCCCTGTGAGAGTGAATGAAACCTGTGACTGTCCAAGGTCCAGAGTGTAGCCAGAGACTCTTGTCATATACCAGAAGCTACCATCATAGCATCTCTACACCACTGGTGGTCCAGGAGCCACTGGCCAGCCATCACTTCAGGGCTCAGTAAGGTGTCCTACACTGCCTTCTCCTGTCAGCCCATTGTCCTTCCCCAGTTGCCCCCAGCCATAGCCAGAATGACACAGAATGACAAGAAATGCCCCAGTTGTCAGGAGCACCTGAGTTGCATGTCACATGGTAGATGTAGGTAGGTAGATAATTGTGGACTATTTTAAGAATGGAATACTAGATAGCAAAGAAAAAAGGGGTGGGGTAGAGTTTGAACTGCTGCCACCACACCCAGCAGCTCTCAGTGTCATGGAGAGGACATAAGCAACACTCACCCTGTCTGATTCCTCTATGTGAGGCTCACAAACAAGCACAAATGTACCAGGTCTGACCTGAATGGGGCCCACACAGTGCACATCTGTGTGAGACCCATCAAACTGGACACTGGAGTTTTGTAAGGCCTACATACATATATGTTAAATACATGAGTCTACGAACTTGTACATACAGTTCTATTTCCACATACAGCAAGTTGTACCCTTAGGATTTATGACCATGTGACCTTATTTTACAAAGTGTTATGATTCCTAGGACCCCACCTTCCTGACTTCTCTTGGAGCTGGCCCTGAGAGTTGGCTCATAATTGTCACCATCAGGGGTATGAAGGTGATCTGGCTGCAACGTGTTTCTCATTGCTCACTAGGGTCAATGTGGCAGATCTGGCTGGCTAGGTGGGTGGTCATGGCATTGACTTCCTCTTCAGCCCATGTGCATCCCTCCCAAAGCTGTGTGCTCAGTGAAGAAGCCAACCTTCCCATACAAAGGTGGGCCATTTTTCAGGGAAGGATATGAGTAGCTATGCTCCCCCACTAGACTGGCAGGGAATTAGGATATGAGACATTCAGCCTGGTGCTGGGCACATGACATGGGTACAGTGACCTTATGAAATGGTCACTAGATAAGACTGAAAATACATGTAGTCCTGCCTGGCATTGAGGCAAGACAGTGTGACTTTTGATGGCCACATGGGGCAGCTCTGTATAGAATGAAGTACCTTTTACCCTCATTAGTAGGTGCTTTGTGACAGTGTTCTGTGCCTGATCTGCCCATTGGGGCTCTGTGCTGAACTTTGCTGGCAGTGAACAGAAAGCCATGCCTGGGGCTTGTCCTTTGCAGTGGGCAAGGGAGGACACAGGCTCTCCCCTGGTATGCACACTGTCTGGTGTCCCTGCCTAGTGGGTGCTTTCCTTGCTAGTTAAAGCTTCAGCTGCCCCTGTTACTTGAGTCCTAACTACCCAGAAGCTTGGCTAGTTGAACACATTGAACACATTAGTGCTCTTCTGCTGGTTACTTAGCATCCTGTGTTTGTCTTTCCTCCGTCAGAGCTCAGTTGTCTGTTTTGCTTTGTTTTCTTTCCTTTAGATTATTTGCTGTCTAATAACTATGTAAATTCGATCATTGTCCATAAATTTGACTTTTCCGATGAGGAGATCATGGCATATTACATATCGTTCCTGAAAACGCTTTCGTTAAAGCTCAACAACCACACCGTCCATTTCTTTTACAATGAGGTGAGTGATGGCCAGTGAGCATATGTGGGTATGGAGCTAAACCCAGCATGGCAGCACCTTTGCTCTGCCTAGTCAGGAGTTTGTCTACAAAGTGCTTGGGTGCTTGCTGCCAGGATTTCCTCGGAAACACAAGCTTTGGTGTACTTAATATTTTGTTTTAAAGTTTTGTGTGTGTGTGTGTGTGTGTGTTATGCACATGTGTGTGCAGGTATGAGTCAGAGTCATTCTCCACCTTGTTTCTTTGAGGCAGGGTCTCTCCCAGAACCTGGAGTCATGTTTTTTCGGCTTGGCTGGCAGTCACCAAGCCCCAGCAATCCTCCTATCTCTACCCTCTTCAGTGGTAGAGTGACAGGCACATGCCTGGCTTGTGACATGGATGCTGGGATCTGAACTCTGGTCCTCATGATTATGCAGCAGTGTTTCTTAACTGCTGGCCTAACTCTATAGCCCTAGGAATATATTTTTAATTCAACAAATTACCTTTCCATTTCAAACATAAAATCACTTTGTGCTGAAAGCAGTTTTTACGTCGCAGGCAGGAAAAGTGCCTAGAAGTTTCCTTAGGCAAACAGGAAGTCCATTCAGGCTTAGCCTAGCTACTTCTTGCTCTGTAACATGAGGGAACTTCCAGACCTCTCTGAGCCTCCATTTTCCTCCTTTGAGAAATGGAGTCAAGTCAGCACCTGTGGGGTTTTAGAGATTTAATTAAATGATATGATGTCTTCAAAGTATTTAATATGTTCCTGGCTCCCTGAAATAATAGACTTGCTACTCTTGCAAGCTAATGTCCTTAGTATTTCTTGGGAGAATTGATAACAATTTAAATAAGTTGTTGCTGCTCTCTCAGTTAAAAGGAGCTTGACCAGTATGGTCAATTTAGATCATATACTTAAAAGTAGAAATGCCAGCTATGGTGGGACTAGTTCATCTGCTGACTCACTCATGTCATCAAGGACCCAGGCTTTTCTACCTTCCTGCCCTGTGACTACAACTGGCATTTGTCCATGAGGTCAGTCCCATTTGGTCACAGGGTGGCTGCAGCAGCTCCAGATATCACATACTCCCATGCTACTGCTAGAGTTTTTGATGAGATCACTTCCCTTCTTGTATCCCTTAAATACTTCCAGAAAACTTTCTCAGAAATCTCCCCCAAGACTTTCCCTCATGTCTCACTGGCCAGAATTGCATCACATTCCTTTCAGTGTATCTGGACATTAGGATTGGCTTAGTAGGACTGTTCTGTGCAATCTCTCAGGAAGCTAACATCCTCTGGAAGTTGGAATGGGGTTGAAGGGTCTTTGCTGTTACAGGTGACTAGCTGATGCTGGCTGTGGGTAGGAGGTTGTAGCTCCCTTTTAGGAGCTTCTTTCCAGGGCCCCTAAATGTCCACAGCCACCTTCCCCAGAGTAAGTGATCCAGCAGAGCACAGAAAACTACTACTTTTTGTGGCCAGACTCAGAAATCATACAATCACTTCTATCATACTCAGGCCACACAGGCCTGCTCTGCCTATGTGTGGGTAGGGGCAGCATAAGTGTGTGGTGTAGAAGCCTGGCTATATGACATGGTCACATGATATTTGAGTGGCAGGTGTCTTCTGAGTCGTGGTCACACATGCTCACATCCTGTATTTGAATTCAGACCACAGTTCCAAGTTGTTTTCTGAATTTGGCAAAATCCATCCAGTGACTCCCATATGCTGTGGCAACAGAAGTCTGAACCTTGATTTTTTTTGTTGTTGTTGTTCAAGAAGGAAATGCTAGCCAAGAACCATGAAATGTGTGAGGCCTTAGAAACTTGACACCTTGGGGCTCTGTCCCTGGTGCATAGTAGGTGCTCAGCAAACCTATCCCGGGAACAGCATTCCCCTAAAAGCTCTCCCAGGTGTTAAAAAACCCAAATGGGAGCAAGGGCCAGATCCTCTGCGCAGGTCAGCCAGACCTCAGAACCCTGGCAGGGAGGGCTGGGCCATGCCTCTGGAACAGCTTTGTTTTTCTAGGTGAGCTTGGTATCTTCTTCAGTGTAAGCTCAGGTAGTAGTTGCCACTTGTTAGGTGCATACTTGACATCTAGTCCTGGAAATGGCATTGTCCTTATTAGAGAGCTGTCATTTGAGCTGGATCCTACCCAGCTAGATCCAGGAACCATCTGGAAACATTAGCCACAGAAGGGCAGCAAAGCTTGCCCCCAGGCCACTTCTGCTCCCGAGGAGCTGTCCTGCCTTCTCTGGCTAGGCAGTGGTTATCCTGGCTCTGAGCCATTTGATCTGTTTTCATTGTCCCCTTTTAACAGTAGACTCCTGGGACCCTCTGCTTCCCTAATAATGTTACACTCAGTGTTTCCACGTATAGCAGGCAAAAGAGACGCTGAACTTAGGCAGTGTCTAACACCAGCTAGCACAGGTACAGCTGTTCAGTACAGGTATCAGGTGCTGGGCTGAGCACTGCACTAGAAATGACCTTGTTTCAGTCTAGAAGCCAGTAAGTAGGTGCTATTATCCATATTTTATAGACAAAGAAATGAACTTAGAGATATCTACTTCACAGAGCTGAAATGTGGTAAGCCAGGCCAAGAAGCCACATGTGACACTGTTAGGACCCATGGCCTTGCCTCCCATCATGGTGACATCTTTTAAAAATTTATTTATTTATTTTTATTTTGTTTTATTTGAGACTGGATCATCTTTTTTTTTTTCAATTTTTTTGGTCTTTTTGACACGTGGTCCCTCTGTATCCCAGTTGGCCTGGAACTCACTATGTAGACCAGGCTGGCCTTGAACTCACAGAGATCCACATGCCTCTGCCTCCCAAGTGCTTGGAACTAAAGGCATATGCCATCACACCTGGCAACACCTTTTTAAAAAAATCCTAGCCTCTGATAGATTTCAGAAAGCCAGAACTGGTAGCAGGTTGTCCTGTGGATTTGTAACTTTTGGCTTCATCTTTTGTTTTAGCATACCAATGACTTTGCCCTGTACACAGAAGCCATCAAATTCTTCAATCATCCGGAAAGCATGGTTCGAATTGCTGTGAGAACGATCACCTTGAATGTCTACAAAGGTAAGTTTCCTCATGCACTCAGGCCTGGGCTGGTGGCTAACTTGACCAAAAAGGCTGGCTTCCATGTGCCTGAGTCACTGGAGAGTACTTGTCTCATAGAGAACTTACAACCACGTAGCAGTTCCTTCATGGAAATCTTTGTGCTGCTGCCCTCTCTCGACATGTTCTGGTCTTGCTTCCCATAGTAGGATGTGCTGAAAAGTCTATGTGGGATTAGAAGTGGGTTATGGTAGAATTAGATAAAACTGTCTTTAAAGTTTTAAGTTTAGGGGCTGGAGAGCTGGCTCAGCAGTTAAGAGCACTGGCTGCTCTTGTGGAAGACCCAGGTTCAAATCCCAGCCCCCACATGGCAGCTAACAACTGTCTGTAACTCCAGTTCCAGGGCCTTCATCGCCCTTTTCTGTCCTCTGTGGGCATTGCACGACATGGGTGTATTTACATACATGCAGGTATAGCAATCATACCCATAAAATATACAAAAATAAATAGAAATTTTAGATTTAAAATTTTGTGTTTTGGCTTGCAAAATATACTGTGATGCAGCTATTTGTTCTTTATCTTTAAGAAAACATTTCACGTCATGAGCAGCAGGGGGCAACATTGTATTCCTAGCCAGCAGCCAAGGCCACTGCACACAGTTTCCTCTGTTCTATTAAGATGTATTAATGCTCCACACTGTCTGCAGGAGAAAGCCTTTCCAAGGCACCTTGCCTGTGTTGGCACAAAGGCTGCCTGCCTGCAAGTTTCTGGAGCTGGAACTGCTCTTCTAAGGCGCTGCCCCATTCCCTTGTAATCACCACTGGGAGCTGGGTTGTTTCTTGGACATTCCAGGGCTTTGATTTCCATGAGTCAAGGTGGTGGTACTTTAGATAACTCGCAGTTGGGGGCTGGGGAGGCTCTCAGCCCTGGGATTACTTTAGATTTAAGAGCTTTCTCAGAACCTAATTGGGTCTACCCAGAGGTTGCAAACTGAGAGTCTGTAAGCCCAACCCAGCTGTTGGACATGTTTTAATTGGCTCAGATAGTCTTCAAAAGAAAATACACAATTGTCCATATTTTAAAATTGGGAGCTTGTACATGGCAATGTGCATATCTGATTTGAAGATCTGCATTTGGCTGTCCTGAGCCCATACTCTTGCATGGAAGGGTTTGTGGCACTAAGAAGCAGCAGCCCCTTTGGCGGTTAGGGCTCCAGCTCCCCAGATTGCACTTTTAGCCTTCCAGTTCCACATGCTGACTTGTCAGGCTTCTGAGTTTGCAACCCTGGTCACACATAGTTGGTTCCACGGCGTCTGCTCTCCTGTTTTCTATTGCCCATTTCTAACTGTGTCTTTCGGTTTAGATGCCTCCTGCCCCAGCTCTGTCCTCTGGGCCGCTGTCTCACCTTCCCAGTTCCTAACCCTATTAACTGTTGTCTGTTTTTGCCTTTCCTCCAATGCCGATTCCTGTTCCTTATTCCAGTGTCATGTAAGTTATTAACCTCTGATTTTCCTCTTTCTAAACTTGCCTTACGTGTAGACACAAGAGACTCGCTTGAGAATGCTTCATTCTCAGCGTAGTCAGGCTAACCCACTGCTGAGGTGTAGCCTCTCCAATGCACTAAAAGTGTTCAGCCCACTAATTTATTGTAGTAATTGTAAGAATAGGATAAGAACTGCCTTGATGAGCTAGTTTTATGAATGAAATAAACATTTTAAGTATTTCCAGGAAAGACAGACAATTTCAGATGATAGCAAGGCTTTTTCATTGTGGTTTTTTTGGTTTGTTTGCTTTTATTTATTTATTTATTTATTTAACTCTCTGGGTTATTTTTGGTAGTTGACTTTTTTTTTCTTTTCTTTTGTGAATTTTCTCAGTGGATAACCAGGCCATGCTGCACTACATCAGAGATAAGACTGCTGTCCCGTACTTCTCCAACTTGGTCTGGTTCATTGGCAGCCACGTGATCGAACTTGACAACTGTGTGCAGACTGATGAGGAGTAAGTGGTGCCTCTAAGGTCTCAAGGGAGAGGGGAAGGGGAGCATTTGGGTCCACTGAGGAAGAGGAGAGCAGCACTTAGTTACCTGCGTGTAGGGCAAGCAGGGACTTCAGATTTCGGAAAGTTCTGCCCACTTGTATACAACAGTGGGAAGTTAGAAACTTTCCACATGCCTCCAGAGGGGCAGAGGGGACAGTACCCCTATAGCTGGGGGTGCAGGGCCACTGGTCAAAAGATGAGGATGTATGAATCACCAAAATGTGGAGTGGGGAAATGGTCCAGTTTGTAAAGTACTTGTTTCACAAGTCTAAGGACAGTTCTGTCCCTAGAACCTACATGAAAAAAGTGGGTGCAGGGATCTCTGACAGGCAGATCCCTGATCCCTGGAAGCTCTCTGGCCAGCTAGTCTAGCCTATTTGGTGATGTTCCAGGCCAGTAACAGACTTTGTTTCAAACAGAAGGTGGACAGCACCCAAGGAATGACACCTGAGGTCCTCTGACCTCCAGACACACACATAGACACTTCATATACATGTGTACCCACATATAGACACACACATACACCCCCTTCCTTCCACACAAAATAGTCAATGTGGTCTGTCCACATGGTGGAATACTATTAGCAAAACACAGACTGAAGTGCTGATACATGCTGTGACATGGATATACCTCAAAAACATTACCATTAGTGATGCTCAGCACCACTCATCATGTGATTTCACTGATGTCACATGCCCAGTATAGGCAACTCTAAGGAAAGAGCAGATTAGTGGTTTCCTAGGGCCAGGGTGTGGAATGAGGGGGTGTTGCTGGGGGGAAACAGAAAGCCACTGTTAATGAGCACAGGGCTTTTGGCAGACAGGATTGAAAATGTTCTCAAATCAATTGTATATACATGCATATATACAATATACAAATGCATATACATGGGCCTGGGGATATTGCTCAGGAATAGAGTACTTGCCCAGCATGGGTGAGACCTTGAGTTCAGTTCCTAGCTCTCCAAGAAAAAACAGTGTTAAAAACCTCGTTAAATTATATACATGGATACAATTATAGTATGTGAATTATATCTTTCAAAATACTTTTAAAGGGGCTGGAAAGATGGCTCAGCAGTAAAGAGCACTGGCTGTTCTTGCAGAGGTCCCAGGTTCAATTCCCAGTACCCACATGGCAGCTAACAACCATGTGTAACTCCAGTTCCAGGGGATCTGACTCCTTCTGATCTCTGTGGGCATTGCACAACATGGGTGCACCTACCTACATGCAGGCAATACATTCATACTCATAAAATGAGAATAGTAAAATATTTTAAAAATATGTCTTTAAAAAATAGTTTAAGATAGTGACTGTGATTTTGTCTTCAAAGCAATGACTTCACGTTCCACAGAAGGGTTTTCTCTCCCTCGGCTCTAGTGATCTTTTGAACTGGGTACTTCATTGTTGGGGTTCCATCCTGGGCATTGTAGAACATTTAGCATTCTTCATGCCTTCTTCTATCTACTGGTGGGTATTAGTACCTCTTCCCAGTAAGGACAACCGAAAATGTCTCCTGACATTGCCACGTGTCCTCTGTAAGGAAAATTGGCCTCAGTTGAGAACCACTGCCCCAAATGACAGCTTTTCCCAGCCTTGTGAAAGGTCCACTTAGAAGGTGGGGTCCAGACCTTGGAAGGAAGTAGGAAGAAGATCTGTGGACAAGGGGAGCTAGGCAGAACATGAGATTAGATATTGGAAAGAAGCAAAGATAGGTAGATGGCAGGGCTGACTGGGCTTTCAGGAAAAGAAGAACCTTTGTGGATGGGCACAGCCCTGGGTGTGAGGCATCAAGGCATGTTCCTCAGAATGAGGTGGTACAAGGAAACAAACTCTCAGTCATCCCTTTGGCTCTGCAGTGACCAGTTATGATCATGTCACCCCCAGTTACATATAACTACAGTTGGGGAGGGGTAGGGGGAACATGGAGTTCTGTAGTGAGAGGAACTCAGTGGATAGTGTCAACGACTGGAGTGCAGAGCAGAAGTCAATGTGGGTTCCACAGAAGACTTCGAGGGACAATATGCAAGAAGAACCAATGGTTTAAAGGTTTTCTCAGCAAGACTTGCTGGTGTGGGCCTGCTCTCCCGGCCACTTAGGAGGCTAAAGTGGGAAGATTGCAAGTTCAAGGCCTGCCTGGGCTACATAGTGAGACGTGTCTCAAAGTAAAAGTAAAAGGAAGGCTAGGGATATAGCTTAGTGGTAGAACACTTGCCTACCACTAGGCTTTAGGCTCAGTTCCTAGTACCACAAAAAGAAAGAAAGGAAAAGAAAAATTGTGGGTGGGCAAGGAACTGATGCTATTTGTCTTTTAATCCCTCTTGTATACCTCAGTAAGGTTTTTCTAAATGAAAGTATTTTTTAAAAGAGATGAATTTAAAAGCCCACAAAAGACAATTTTTAACAGTATCTTATGAAGGGAAGTATGAAACATTGTGTGTAAATGTTCTAGAGATCTCGGGTGAAATGGATTCATAGAGTCTTGTTACATTCAGGCTTTGCAGCATGGATTTCCTATCGATATTTACTAAAGATCTTTAGCTTATAGTAAGGAAAGAAATACCCCAAATGTTTTGAAAGCAAACCCGAAGCTTGAAGTACTACTAACAGATTGGTAAAAGTGAATTTTAGATTGACTGTGGGGAGAGAGAAAAATGTGTAAACCAGGTTGTTGGGTAGTACTAAATATCAGTACTGGGTGTCTGTTACTGGTGGCCCCATCAGGATCTCTTCTCTGACTTTTATCTTCTTTCTAAACCTTCTTCTGTCTTCTGAAATGACCATCTATAACTTGGATCTTTGCCATACCTACTGATGAGGTGGCAAAGTGTGTCCCTGGCTGCTTTGACCCTGTCCTGACTACACTCTGGAAACACAGGCAGCACGACTGTTGCTTGCCGCAAGGACACAGAGACTTCTAGCCAGGGACACAGGTTGTGGGGTATGTGTTCTTGCTGTGTATCCAATTCATGTGGTGTGCGGAGCTGCTGAGTAAGGTCTGGAGCATTTGACTTGGTAGAATTCCTGGTTCCATTAGTGCTGCCTATCTGGGGAACCGGGGTATCCTACTCCATTGGCTAGTGGCTACTCTTGTGCAATGGCCTCCTACAATGGCTTTGCTGTTATTTTTCTTTGCTTACCCCACTTGTTTAGAGCTGCGCTTGTAGGGTGCCTGTGCCAAGGATATTGGAGAAGGAGCCCCAGGAATCCCCTAAAATGGATTGTAATGGACTTGTATATTTTTTCTTTTGTCTGTCTTATGAGACTAGCCTACCTATTGGGTGTGTGAATGAATGTGTCCCCAGCCATCTGATCTTTTTAAAATATTTTATTTATTTTATTTTATGTGTATGTGTGTATTGCTTGCATGTAAGTGTACCCATGTCATGCAGAGCCCACAGAGATCAGAAAAGGGTGCCAAATTTCCTGGAACTGGAGTTACAGACCATTGTTAGCCTCCATGTGGGTGCTGGGAATCAAACCTGGGGCCTCTGCAAGAGCAGCCATGCTCTCAACCACTGAACCATCTTTCTAGCCCCCAGCCAACTGATTTTAAGGCCAATGGCTTAAGGCACAAGGTCCCAAGCCCTGCCCCCGCAGAATGAGAGGATCATTTCTCTTGGCAGGCACCGGAATCGGGGGAAACTGAGTGACCTGGTGGCTGAGCACCTGGACCATCTGCACTATCTCAATGACATCCTTATCATCAACTGCGAGTTCCTCAATGACGTGCTCACAGACCACCTGCTCAACAGGCTCTTCCTGCCACTCTATGTGTACTCACTTGAGAACCCGGACAAGGTGGGTCTGCAACTGGCCCACTACCCCTGCAGGTGTCAGGGGGACAGTGCTAGCCATGGCTGGGCCTGCCTTTGTAGGGGGCCAAGGCTTCACATTCTAGGGAATGGTCTTTCAAAGCCCATTCATTGGCTTTACCTTCTTGCTGAGAAAGTGACTGAGAAGTGTAAGATTTCTGATAGCACAGGGATGCAGGAGGGCCTGAAACTCAGCCGCTTGGTTCCTGTGTGTCCTGTTCCCATCCTCCTCAGCTTTTTCTGGTAGTTATAAGAGCTAGTTCTGAGTAGAACCAGGCAGCACCAAAATTTGACTGTGGAATGGGCAAGAGTGTGTTCAGGGAAGGTCCCACTGTGATTGGCCACAGGTTGTCAGCCTCAGAGTCCTCTGTGGGGATGCGGGATGGTAACATCCTAGGATACCATCTCTCAGTAGGCCTGGGATGGGACCAGACAGGAATCTGAGGGTTTAGCCTGTCTCTTGGTGACTGGATGGGACCAGACAGGAATCTGAGGGTTTAGCCTGTCTCTTGGTGACTCATTGAGTGGCTGATTCTGGGATGCCCCCAGGGGAAAAGCTGCTTGGCCGGGGGTGGGGTGGGGGTGGGGGGTGTCAGTCATTCTTGCAGAGTTAAGGTTAGATTGGGGGAAGGCAAGTGGACTCACAAACATTGCCAGTAGAGGCCTCAGCAGGAGGCAGGATAGCCAGCTGTCATTCTGCTGGGGAACTCCTCTCCTCAGATATGTCTTAGGTATGCTGTTTCAGTTTTGGAAAATGGGCCTTCTTGACACCAGTAAGTGAATACAGTAAAAGGAAGTTGCAACTTTCATTCACCCTGGAGCAACTCTAAGAGGCTTCAAGGAGACTTGGGGACACAGGCACCAACCCTCCCTTCACCTGCAAAAGATCACCCTGTCATAGAGTTGATGTGACATGGGCCATCTTAAAGCTGAGAAATAAGAAACTTTTTTATTTTTTCATTTTTTGAGCTCAGAGGGCCCCAAGCCTGTCTTTCCTCCAACCTCCCACCCTATGTTGTAAAGGACTCTTCCTGAAAATAGACTTTTGCCTGTCCTCTGGGGCCTTCAGTGCTTAGCTAGAGAACAAGCATTTCTATAACTAGGAAGAAACTCCTCCCTTGGATCATCTGCAAAGCCAGAACTGTGATGCAGGACTCCTTTGGATGGGGCTAGCCTCTGTGTTGGGTGGGATGAGGCTGTGATTGTCCTTTAAAGAGTAGGCATTTGACTAGCACAGGAGGGGTCAGGGAACAGGGGACAGAGCACTTCTTGCTCAAGTTGAGGGCTCATGGCATTACGGATTTTTTCTATGACTGCCTTTTGTAACCTGGACCCCCTCTTTTTCCTCTGTCCTTCTCTAGGGAGGAGAACGGCCAAAAATCAGCCTGCCAGTGTCCCTCTATCTTCTCTCTCAGGTATGTTTGCCCCATTTTCAGTGTCCTTTGCCCATTTGGGGTCCTGTGATATATGTCCAGGCTGCTTACCTATCTCTGTCAGGTGCCTATCTTGAAATGAAGGCATTCTGTTTTCCATATACTGAGTAGGGTTAGCTGAATCTTCTCACTGTAGAGGTTGGAAATTTAAAGAGAAAAAAAAAAAAAGTGAGCAATGCCTGGCACCCCTGCCTTTTATTTCTACGTGAGGTTTCCTAAATAACTGGCTAGTGTTCTCCATACCCTGGCAATGCAAGCTTTTGTTCCTGTATTTAGAGATAAGCCCCAGCTGCTGAATGACTGTATACTCACAGCCATGGTCTAGTACACAGCCTGTGCTGGGCTGACTGCAAAAGACCTATGTTGGTTCTGGTTCCAAATCGCCTTCTGAAAGAGATCTCGAAGCAGCCACAGCCCCAAGATTTGAGTCTCCAGCGAGTTTGCCTGCCTTCTTCCTCAAACAACTGTGTTCCCCTCTCTACTTCTTGTAATTATATAATATTTACAAGAAGGGGAAAACTCCATGGTGACCCAGTTACATAACTTTAGAAATATTTTTATTACTAGCGGTCCAGACTCCAGGCCACCTCACCCAGCTGTCAAGTTGCCAGACATTTGCCCAGAGTTCTGTTCCCATGTCTGCCATTGCACTGGAGTTGGTTTGCTTTGGTAAGAGGCTCTCCTACCTGGATCCCCTGCTTTGTGGAGTTTGGGGTGATTTTGGCTCCTGCTGGCCTGAGAAGAGATTGAGCCTACGGCCTTCTTACAGGAGGGAGGTTGATTGGATCCAGTCATGGCTTGGCCACTGCTCATATCCTGTAGCCTTGTTCTAGAGACTCTGTTTGCTCGGAGCTCGGTCTGGTTCCTTCTCTGTCTCAGTGCAAGGCCTTCTGTGCCACCAACTTTAGCACAGGACAGCCTCTCCTGGCAGCCCTTTCTGCTGACTCATTACAAACCTGCCACTGTCTCTTGCTGGAGATTCAGTGAATCTGGTAGGATGCAAGCAGGCTGTTGTCAGCCACAGGAGCATAACCGAGTAGCTCATCCTAGAGACCCCTCAACTTTTGGAGCATTGCATGGGTAGGTTTCCCTGTGAGGAGAAGTGTGGCCACCCATTCCTCTGGCTGGTCCTTTAGTCTTTTCTCTGAGAAGCACTTCTTATTTTCTTAGTGAAGGATCAGTACTTTAGGTTACCTTTCCATATCTCTCAAAACACAGAGCTTATAATTAAGTTTTCTTTAGACTTAGATAAAAAATTTTATTTATTATTTTTATTTTATGTGTATGAGTGGAATGTCTGCATATAGGTAGGTGCACCCGTGTTATACAGTGCCAACGGAGGTCAGAAGAGGATGTCAAATCCCCTGGATCTAGTGTTACAGATGGTTGTTAGCCACCATATGGGTGCTGGGAATCGAACTCAGGTCCTCTGCAAGAGTAGTCAGTGCTCTTAACTGCTGAGCCATCTCTCCAGCCCCAGACTTAGAGCTCTTCAAAAGATATCTTTTGAATGAAAAGTCTTGGACTGGCAAGATGATTTAACATCAGTAAAGGTGCTTGCTGACAAGCCTGACAACTCAGGTTTATCCCTGGAACCCACATGGGGAAAAGAAAGAACCAACTCCTACAAATTGTCCTCTAACCTTGACACCTATGCCATAGCATGAATGTGCACACCCCTGAACACACACATACAAATAAATAAATAAATAAATGTAAAACATTTTTTTAAAAATAAAAAATCTTGGCCTTTCCTCCCTTACATTATTATTTAGCTTAATTACAATGTGATATAAATGTGAAAACTTAAAGTCAAGGTTTGGGGATTGGGGTTGTTTTGTTTTATTTGTTTTTGTTTTTTTAAATTATTTATTTAATAATCACATACTTAGAAGAAGCATTTCTTTACATCAGCATTAACATATTCAATAACAATTTTCTGAGCTAGGATGCATCTCTTACAAAATTAGCTGTACATTTTTAGGTTTACAGTTGAATTATTACAGTTATACAATATTGTACTCACTATAAGACATAAAAGACATAAAATTGAATGAGGTTTTAAACTTTTAAAAGATCTCCATTTCATTGTTAAAATATACAGTTTCATACAGAAAAACTAGTTTTTTGTCTTTTGGGTTTTTTTGAGACAGGGTATCCTTGTAGCCCCAGCTGTCCTGGAACTCACTATGTAGACCAGGCTGGCCTCGAATTCACAAAGATCCACCTGTCTCTGCCTCCCAAGTGCTGGGATTAAAGGCATTTAGGTACCTGTCCATTTCTTTTTGGTTTTTAAAGTATTCCCTAATCATGTTCTTAGTACCATTCGCTTATTGGGGATTAAAAGCTGGTTGATCTAGACTTCAGGTTCCCTCTTTTGATTTTATATTGGGGTGGCCAGATTGCTTTTTCTTCAGGAGTTCCCTCAGAGGCCCAAGTCAGATGAGGCTCAGATGCACTCAGGCTTTCTTTTTAACCTTTAAAAAAAGATCTCTATTTCATTTTAGAATATATTGTTCCTTGCAGAAAGATTCATTGTTTTTGCTATTAACACTGAGATGTTGGTGCTTGCATCTTTAATCTGTATGTATCTGATTATTACTAGTCATAATCTGTTGCACTTGGATCCTTGGCGCCTGTGTATGTCTATAAAGTCATCAGGCAGATTTCAGTGGTATTGTTTATCACCTCTACTAATTAGTATGACGTAAATTTCCAAGCTTCTTCCTCATTTTTTTAAAATTTGTTTTTGTGTGTCTGTGTGTATATCACATCCCAAACCATCTCATTTGACTATACACCCACTTCCCAGATAGCACCTCCCATAGCCTCCCTCCCCCCACTAGAGCCCTTATACTCTGATATCCCTGCTACTGTCTGCTGTGTTGTCGGCACCCCCAGCCATTCCCCACAACTTGCCCTTCTGGTGAATCTAGTCAGCCTATCTAGAGGTCTTTGTTTTAGGAGGGTCAGCTGTTCCTCACCTAGCAATAATCAGTTGTCATATTCCTTTAGATATGATTGGGGTCTGCTGTTCATTTTCCCAGTTCCATGCTGGGTTATTATCTGGGAGTCCCTTTGGCCACCCTGGCCAACTCAAAAGAAGGTATCGCCTGTCTGGCATCATTGCTTGTTATGTAGCCTTTAGCTGTGCGCATGGACTCTTAAGAAATTATATTGACCCCTTTAATCTTTGGCTATACTTTCCTTTTGGGTGTTTAAGGCCATACAGTTGGCCCAGATAAACCAATTTATTTTTACTCTTAAGGTCATTTGAAAATCTTTTCCTCAGGGGTCACATGGGCTTGGGATGACGTATGTGAAGATAACTCAAAGGTCCTGCTTGACCATGGTTGGCTTCGCTTGGAAACATGGAGGAAATGATTCCTCTGTATTGATCATCATCTTTGTAGACTGGACACTGGTTCAAGTCCATCTGGTGGGGTCTCCTCAGCCTCCTTGATCAAGAGGACAGATGACCCACCACCATTACAGGGCATTTTGAGAGATGCTCATAGTCCCCTGGAACTAGTTGACCTAGGAGGGCAAGAAGCAAAAAGTGTCCTTTATGTCCCTCTGACAAAATTATTATAGGCCTCAAAGTATGTCTGTTAAACACCCAAGAAAGTTAGTTCCACCAGTCTGGTATTTTTAATTACTGTGTGTCATGTAGATAAATCTTAGGCAAAGACCAGTTGTGTTCTAATTTTTTGATGATGAACAGGTTTTTGAGAATATTAAACACTTTTATCCTCTTCATTTTTTTTATATCTAATACAACATTGGGACTACAGATCTGAGTAAACAAGTATTTCCTGAAATAAATTTAAGGACAAATTTGAGGAAATTGT